CTCGAGAAGTGGTTACAGTCAGGCTCTCCCCGCCCCTTACCGGGTCGACTGTCTTCATTGGTAAATTGATAAATTGTGCTTCTTTTAGACGTTTACATCAAAAACTTTAAAATTATGTATACATAAAGAGCTTTAACGGAAGAAATGAGTTTATGGATATTAGTTCTTATGAAGATGTCCATGCGGATCATATTTATAAATGCCTTAAAACAGCTATCCGCACTGTCGAGGAAAAATAACGTCCGCAAGATAACTCGGGTATTGTTATTTCTAAGATTAATAAATAAACTTCCCATAATAGGTTACCGCCTTAAAGGGTGCTTTACTTAGATATTCAGCTGACGAATTGCTGTGTATATTAACTATTTTCAGGGTAATGTCACAATTAAATTGGAGACTTTTGACAATTTTTTTCAATATACCTGAAGATGAACGATTCAATGGAACTGAAAATGAAAGAACTTACTTTTCTCTTTATAATGGATTATTTTCCGTATAAGTAGATTAAATCCACGATCTGTTATAAGCTTGCGAATGCAAAAAAGACTGGCCACATATATGGCCATTTTTTGAAATATTTATTATTATTATTATTTTGTCTGTTCCGTTACTTAATATCGTATAAGCGGAACGTATAGTTTACAAAAAAGTATACTTCTACCTGACTTACATTTAATAAGGTCTCCTTTACATCACCTTCACGGTAGCATATATAACAACGTTTGCTTATGCGCTCATAGTTACCGGTGGGGTAAAATAATTTTGTTATACAAACTGACTACTGCACTTTATGACACAAAACTTAACAGAATAGCAAAAAATAATTTTTGAAACTTAAATTGTTGCTTGTTTCTGAAAATAAATGCGATTCCTTAAACTTGGCTTCACTTCCATTTGAGCAACTTCGGACAAAGTTGTCCAGTTGTAGGAGGAATAATTTTTCCACTTATTTCTACTTATTCTGGAATTCTTCCATAGCACAATGCATATTTATAAAAACATTTGGTTCTGTCGCACCTTATAGCATAGGAAATTTCCTTGATATAAATCTACTCATGATTTAGGCAAAAGTAGTGCCTATTTTCGTTCCATAACTTGAACTAAGAGGGCAGTTTTCCAAAGTAAAGTCTTTCTAATTATCAAATCCACTCAGTTGATCAAAATAACCTCTCCAAATGTGTGCGTAACTACCAAATTAAATTTCGTCATGAAAGTCGCATGCAGGACTTGCCATACTGTATATTGAATGATTATTGTTCGATATTACCAGGTGCTGTCCGCATGGAATCTGCAGTAAGCAGGAAATAACCAATGGCAAAAAATTGAATGAACTGGATTTTTGTCTGGCAAGGAGAATTAAAGAGAGAAGACCTTGACACTGTTCCAAGCGGACTTATTCGTTGCCGATACCAATACGCAGTTTTTAGTCCCCTAAGGTGAAGGAAGGGCCAAAATGGTCTCAAGGGGAACAGCGACAAACAATTTGGTGAAGACGCAGCGAAAATCCCTACCTGATTTTCCTACAAGGCAAGATGCCAGTAATGTCTGATGCCGCTAGGGGCGAACTCTGGCTCTAGTAGGGAATCAGCTTGCACAACAAGAGCGTGAATAATTATTTTTAAGCATTATCTTGCCACTGGCCTGCTTAGATGTCATATACACATGTGTTTGCTCCTTTAAATTCCCCTTCATCTTTGAACACTGGTAGTTGTTCCGTTTTCCAGGAGGAAAATAAAGTCTTACAGGTGGAAACCGAGAAGCTGCGATCAGTGGTCTCACAGCCGAAGGAAGATCATAGCGGCTGCAAGGAGAAGCTTGCCGAGCTGGAACACAAACTACAGCTCCTGGTGGAGTACCCCGATTTAAACCCGTCACCCGAGAAACCGGAAAAACTTCGTAAGTCCCCTGGCTTTGTGTTTGTTGTGTGGAAGGAATGTAAGTTTCTATCTGAGTGCCGCCAAACAGTGCGTCCACACAAGTATAGATAAAGCACGGATACGCGTTAACCCAACTCGATTGTTAATCAAGGTAAACAAAACATGCTACTGTGCGTTTTACAGTAGGTAGTATTTTTTAATTAATAAGGCAGAAAAAGACGGGCCGAGCATCGAACACACTTATTTAGTGGAGCTGTCGAACGCTTGGTGGAGTCCATCGCCAGAGATAAAAGCAGCATCGGGACAGGCGACGATTACAGGGGCTGTTTGGCCATTAAGGATCCGTGACGCGGATTTGGGGATGACTGCTAGCTTTAAATCGATACGTCGATTGACTGAGTTCACATTCAACACCCAGGCTTCAATCGACCCGCTGTGGACGATTATCTTTTTGACTGCGAAGTTAAATTCGTGACTGGTTTCGAAGATTGGGAAGTCACTTTTAATCATTCTGCAGTCCACCGCACAGCCAGCTCATTTTCGTGTGTGCGCGACCCAAATGTGCGCACAGTTCGATCTGTGTAATGACAAGAACAGTTAAGGTGAGGGATAAGACAAAGGACGCCGAACTGTTCCCTAAAATGTAACCTGTTCTTGATTGCCATGACCTCGCTGTGTATGGTGGCTTTGAGCTGGTAAATATCCAACACTTAGCCCCGCAGCAATGAGCTCGGTCGCCTGTAAAACGCCCCTTATATATGGCAGAGTATGCCATATCATTTATGGTGTTTCCGATGAGGTCTTCTAGAGGCAAACCCGCAGTAGCCGCTTATAAACGCTTGGCCATTCCATGTAACTTGGTCACGGAGGTGTCAAGCCTCACGTGTTCTTTCTTCTGCGTTCTTGCATTGAGTCTAAATCCGTTTGAAATGTGTTCTCAAAGAGTTTTGTTTGAAAGTCACAGGATGGCTGCTGTTAAAACTAAGAAGCTGCATGATGTTCCTTCTCTTTCTGTAAACTGTCGCATCTCGTTTGTCTGACAGGAACATCAAGGTAGGTTATCTACTTCCGCCAATGCGTCATTTAGAAACGGAACAGATAGAAGATGGAAAGTTTTACTAAAATCTTTGTATATATTCGGCCACTTTTTTCCCATTTTCCATCTTAAAATGCGGTCTAAAAGTAATCAACTATGGTGACAAATGCCCCAATATAAAGAGAACGAGAAATTCTTTCATTTTCAGTCAAAATTGTATAATTTATTTCCAGTTAAATGGAAAACTTAGTAGAGGAATCCATTTTCATTTTGACGTTCCGTTGTAAAAGGATAGCATGCCCAGATATCCATCAGCTAAATATCTAATAAAAGTGCTTTTTTAAAAAGATAGCCTATTATACAACGTTTTTTAAAGTGATCTTAGGCATAAAAATATCAGGTTTTCGTTGAGGACGTTCTTTTTACTCGACAACATGTTTCGATGTTTTGGGTTGTGTCAACATATAACCCGCATGGCCATTTACGTAAGGACTTAGATCCAAAAGTTCACCTTTTCGGTAAATACGTTTAAGAGATATGTTATTTTAAAAGTTTTGACAAAAATAGCACACAAAATCTAAATTTATAGAAGAAAGCTTAAAAACACCGCAAATCGTGAAGAATTAGCCGGAATTTAATGCGTGATCTGATACTAGTCGTAATCCAATACTCGAAACATCTATAAGGAAAGTTGACGAATTGAAACTTCTTTTAGTATAAAAATTGCATGGTTCGGATTTCACCTGACATTTATTGGTTACATTTATAGCGACTTTTCACGCTTTCGGAACCTGAAGCTTCTTTAAAAGAGGTCAATAGTTTTAAACAAACTATTAGTTTTCTTTATACTTCATCTAGGTTCTAAATTCATTTAAAGCTGTTCATTATGATTGAAGTTTTCTTATTAATCGTTCGCGAATTCCAGTATTTTGCATCAGTTAAGGCCCGAACTGCACAGCTTCAGTATCATTATTTGTTCAGATTTTCCAGTCAACTTTCTACATCCCCGCCTAATGCCAACCACAGTGTTGATCCTAAGAGGTGACGCGCGGGAATCGCTTTAGAAG